GTTTCTATTAACTGGGTTTTATTGCTGGGTTTCTTCCGACTAACAAGTTTCTTTAGTCGGCTCCATAGATTTTAAATTGGGTTAAGGTCTGGGCCATTCCAGCAGTGGAATACGATAATTTTTTTTAAAAATTTGATTTATATGCCGCCCTTCTCCAGAGACTCAGGGCGTCTTACAGTGCGTTAAGCAATAGCCTTCATACTTTTGTATATTTTTTATACAAAGTCAGTTTATGGCCCCCACAAACTGGGTTCTCAATTTACCTATCTTAGAAATGATGGAAGGCTGAGTCAACCTTGAGCCTGGTGAGATTCGAACTTACAGTAATTGCAGACAGCTGGTGTTAAATTACAGTGCTTAGTCTGCAGAGCTATCCAGGCTCCTTGAAACTTGAATAATCTTGAAACTCCGAAAAAAAACGGTGTTATTAGCCATCAAACCTCAAAAATACACTTTTCCCAAAAGGTTTCCACAATTTTGGCCACTACTGTAAGCATGGACTCAAGTTTGTTGTCACACAAATCTGCTCCCACCTAGAACAGAGTCCTCAGCACAAGTACCACCCCTGAAAAGCCCCTTCAAGATGTCACAGCTGACATCCAGCAGCTACTTCTAGGGCTCTTCCTGCTATCTGATCTTTCATGACAAAACTGTGGTTGGGTGAGCAATAAGGATGTCTAAAAACAGATCCAGGCTGACTTGTTAGGTTACCTGTTCATGACGTTCAAGCTTGCCACACCCTGAAGGAGAAAAAGTCATTGAAAGAAACTAGCCTGACCTATCCCTGCCCTCTTACACACCAACCCATCTCCCAGGGCTCAACCTAGCACAAACTGAACACCTGAGGGACACATTCGCATTACAAGACTTTTTTTTATTATTATTATTCTTCTAAGAGCCATCAACTTTAGTTGTGAGCAAATGACACCCAACTTTACTCCTCAGAGGTGTTAAAATGCTGACATCATTGCTGGTTTCAAATACAGGTAATCCTCGACTTGCAGTCACAAGTGAGCCAGGGGTGGGTTCTAAATTTTTTTACTACCGGTTCTGTGGGTGTGGCTTATTTTGTGGGTGTGGCTTGGAGGTCATGTGTCTAGGTGGGCATGGCTAGCTGGTCAGAGTCATTTCTGGAAGGTCCTCACACTTACGACCAGTCCTCACACTTATGATCCAACTCATTTGTTTGCTTTTAACACTGATCAGCTGTAGGATGGCCTTTGAAGCCCCGCGGTAAGAGTTTAAACAGTTTTTTTCCCTCTAGTCATCAGTTGGGACTCAGGAGGCAGCAATAGATTGGGGGTGGGACCAAATAAAAGGTAAGAATAACGTGGGTGAGGGGGGGATGGGAGGACGGGAGGAGAACCGGTTCGGTGACATCATATCCACCGAACCGGACTGAACCAGGAGGAACCCACCACTGAAGTGAGCCCAACGTTTTTGTTGTGAAGTGAGACATTTGTTAAGTGAGTTTTGTCCCATTTTACGACCTTTCTTGCCTCCGTTCTTAAGTGAATCACTGCAGTCAATAAATTAGTAACCCAGCTGTTAATGAAATCTGGCTTCCCCATCGACTTTGCTTGTCAGAAAGTCATAAAAGGGGATTTAATATAATTTAATTTAATTAATTCAATTTATATGCCGCCCCTCTCCGAAGACTCAGGGCGGCTCCCGGGATCACATTGTCCCAGGAAATAGTGACGGTCATAAATATGAACCAGTTGCCAAGCATCCAAATTTTGATCACATGATCCTGCGGACGCTGCAAAGGTCATAGCTGGGAAAAAACGGTTCTATGTCACTTTTTTGAGTGCTGTGGTAATGTTGAATAGTCACTAAATGAACTATTGTAAGTCGAGGACTGCCTGCAAACCATTTTTTTAAACTCAAGAAATAAAAAGGCCAAGAAACATCCACTGTTTTCTGCCTCATTGTAAACCTGAGAGGCAGAATTTCAACGAATGCTCTTTTTCTCAGCAAGAACAGGTACAATTGTCCTATAGTTTTGCATCTCTGTTGGGAACAAAAACACAAGAAAAAACTGAATTTTCTGAATGCTGGGAAAATTCTCTGAGCATATTCAGAATAGTGGCATCCATATCTAAGATGGCTTTTTTCAGACTTTAAATTTGTAAAATTAACTGCATTAAATGCATCTGTTATGGATGTAATCTTGGAAGAAAATAATCTGAATAAGACCACATTTACTAAGTGCCGGACATCACAATCCACCAAAAAGTAACAGGGGAAAATTAAAAATCAACAATACATGCAGAATGACTTAAATTCAATCCTTGGCATCTCCAAATTAGATAAGAATCCAGGAAAACCCCTTTCAATTAGGTACTAGCTTCAACATGGTGCTAAATCGCTATTACCATAGTTTTAACCATGGTTTGACCAACCCATTAAATCCTTGTTTCAACTTTAACAATAAACTATGACTATTGATTTACATGCCACGATGGCTGGGTTCATGGATCTCACAAGGCTGAAACTAAGCAAGTCACATCATGTTTCAATACAATGCATTACCCAACCTGACTTCTTATTGACTAATAATTTTTTTACAGATCTCAGTTGCTGGAAGTAATTTAAATTTGCGTTTTATGCTTTGTAAAATTGTTTTTTTCCCCTTTGCAAAACCTAAAATACGAGGAAGCAGCAAATCCCAGAAAATAATAACCCATTATTTGTGAATGCAGAGTTTGGAGATTGTGGGTCAAGGCGAAGAAAAGGATCCTGTTTACGGGTGGTCCTCAAGTTACAGCCACAATCGAGACCAAAATTTCTGTTGCTAAGCGAAACAGTTGTAAATTTGAGTTTTGCCCCATTTTACCACCTTTCTTGCCACAGTTGTTAAGTGAATCCCTGCAGTTGTCAAGTTAGTACCATGGTTGTTAAGTGAATCTGACTTTGCTTGTAAGAAGGTCACAAAAGGGAATCACACAACTCCAGGAAACTGCAACCCGTCATAAATATGAGCCAGTTGCCAAGCATCTGAATTTTGATCACATGACTTCAGGGATGTGACAACGGTTGTAAATGTGAAAAATGGACGTAAGGCACTTTTTTCAGTGCCATTGTAACTTGGAACAATCCCTAAATGAAGTGTTTTAAGTCAAGGACTACCTGTACTTTATTCTTATGTTCCAGGACTGAGTGCTGCTACTGCTGACTGTATGAGCCCTGAGGGCAAAGCATTTTATATCTTCTTATTTTGTTTGATTACAGACATCCTGCCCAAGTGCAGGCTTGAAAGGATAAACAAATGTAAACACACGTGCAAAACATTCCAGGAACCGCTATTCCCAAGTGCTTGGATTTCAATGCCTCTTCTATGAAGTGTATTTAAGGTTTCAGCTTTCATGGAAGAAGATAATGGAAGTTTCAGAAGCAGCTCAAAGACTGGGTGTAACTACCAAAAAGGAGATAATGCTTTTTTTCTTCTTTCTTTTTGGCTCCAAGAACACATTTACTTCCAGAAAAGAAGGGGGGGAAAAATCTCACTTCTCACCTCCTATTATATTTCTACATCTGTCAGAAAGGACGTTGCAGGCCTGAAGGCTGCCCATAAACGGTTAAACCTTTTTCAAAGAGTAACTAAAAAGGATCTTAACACATCGGACCAGAGGTTCCTATTTTGACAAGCCCTTCCTTTTAGCGCATTCTAGTGTTGCAGCTTTCCTTCTAAAATTCCGGCAGGCAAAAAATGCAGTCAGCATGGCTTTTCCAGGCCTAGAGATATAACCACAGCTAACCAACTTTCCTTGGGAAATATCTTCCTAAAAGAGCATAAAAACTCCAATGTGTGTGTGTGGGGGGAAGGGGGTTAGAGAAAATAAGATGGCAAGTCTTCTTCCTCAAGACATTCCAAGGAACATTTCCAGCCCTTTCTGTCTTTCTGTCTGTGTTTTCCCAATGCACAGACCTTTGCCCTCTTGTAAGCTAACAAGGCCAGGCATCTTTTGCTAGTCATGCTCTTAAAAGCTGGTTTCAGGAAGAAGGGTGGGAAACCAAGAAGTCTTAAATCGAAGATAAAACTGGAATGAGGATAGGGCTCTCCAACCAAGCATTCAGCAAGAAGAGTGGTTGTCTCAGCCCTCTAGCAGAAGAGTGCATTAAAAGCACAATTCCATAAGACTCAAAACAGGAAAAGAAAACACAGCGGTGTATGTGTGTGGGGGGGGGGGCTCCTTTAATCATTACAATCATCATTAAGACTTCAATTTGAGGTCTCGCCTCCAGAAGTTGTGAATGCTCCATCATTGAAAGATTTTAAGAGATTGGACAACCGTTTGTCTGAAATGGTACGGGACTTCCTGCCTGAGCCGGGGGTTGGACTAGAAGACCTCCCAAGGTCCCTTCCAGCTCTTGTTATTCTGTATTCTATCCTGATCGTGCCACCTTGAGAAGACCTTTCAAAAGAAAGATCCAGATTAAGCCTGGAACGGTGAGAAACAGAATTAAGGAAAGGATTCCTTAGAGCAGGAAGCATCTCCTTGGGCAGGAGTAACCGCCCCCAGCCTCAGGCACAAAAAGGATCAAGCTTTAAAGCTTTTAAAAAAAAAACCAGGTAAACTACGATCTCTGCATTTTAAGCATATATTTCTGGATACCACAGTTATTCTGCAGGGCTGCTGATGTCCCCACCACAACCCACCTCCCTTCCCTCCCATCCAAATTCTTCACTGCCCCAAGCATGGAGCTCCACTTGGATCCCCCCCCCACCCGCAAAACCAACTTGGCTCCTAAAGCCTTGAGGACTAGAAACTTGAAACATCCACACACCCCCAAGGAAACCAGCGGGGCGTTATTATTACCACACAGCCCGAAGCCTCGGCTGCTGCCAAAGCAGTCTCGGCTCCAAACCGGGGCGGGATCGCGAGAAGTACCCCGCGGCCAAACTGCAAGGTGCGCAGGACGCAACCGGGAGAGGAGCTGCCCGCTGCCTTCCAGGCGCCCCGGACGGCTATCACATGTCCTCTTCCTCTACTTACCGCCGGCGACGAGCAGCAAAGACAGGAGCCCGGCGAGGCTCAGGCCACCCCGCAACCCCTCCATGGCGGGACCCAGGTGGATCGACGGCAAAGACGCTGGCCCGCTGAAGAGAAGCAGCGAAGGGAGCTCAGGTGGAAGTTCCTTCGAGGAGCCTGGCAGGCAGGTGCACTGAAGCGGGAGGCGGCGTTGGCGGCTCTAACCTGTCGGGAGAGGGCTGGGCGTCGGACCAGAGCCAGTCAGAGGCTACAGACAACGCTCTCATTTGCATAGGGCGGTCTCGCTCACCTGTTGGCTTTGGGAGTCAAAGCAGAGCCCGCCAACCCTGACTTTTTCAGTCAAAGTGGGGGGGGGGTTTCAACACACAGCACCCCCAAGTTGAGTTTTCCAGGCCGGGGTTATTGGAACGAGGCTTGTGAAGGGTCTGAGGAGCTGCCCTTTGAGTCTTCCGTAAGGTTTGTGGAAATGGTAATAGTTTGTCAAAAAGCAAACAGGTTTTAAAACTGTGTTTCTCAATCTTGGCCTCTTTAAGGTGGGTGGACTTCAACTCCCAGGATTCCCCAGCCACAGCATGGGCTGCCAGGGGAATTCTGGGAGTTGAAGTCCACTCATCTTAAAAGTGGCCAAGATTGAGAAACTCAGTTTTAGAAGGTTACACTATTAAAGAAACAAACGCTTTCAAGGAGGGCAGGGCAAGCTTTCAGGTTTTGTTATATAATTCAGATATGGAATCTCTGATATTTCATCATTCAGGTGCAAAGCCAAGAAACGGGGCCAGCCTTAGAGTCATGCTGTATATAAGGATGTTGCTTATACTTTCTTTTCGGCTTAGCGACAAAGAGAATAGAGCCAAATAGCAAACATATTCAAACTGTTGAATAAGAAAAAGCTACTTTTCCGATAATGGTAAATATCCACTTTAAGGGGAAACTGCTTCAAGCAGCTTTGCCTGCTGTTTGATGTGAATTCCATTCTTGCCTGAAATTTATAGAAAACTCAGATCCATCAGATTTTTATCGATTTAATTTGAAGGGCACCAAAGTGAAGGTTTTTAAATTAAGTCCTAATTGTATTTTCCTTAAATGATTTGTCACAAGGAATTAAGTGAACAGATGCACAGTATTTGTTGTCCCCTAATTTTCTTTGCCATAGCAGGCTTGTGAGAAAAGTAACCAGATAATTACAACCTCCTATTTATCTAAGGATAACCTTCCACAAACTGGAATCTGGCAGCACTTTTTCTGACTAGCAACTTTGTTTTAATAGAATAGAATAGAATATTTTATTGGCCAAGTGTGATTGGACACACAAGGAATTTATCTTGGTGCATACGTTTTCAGTGTACATAAAAGAAAAGATACATTTATCAAGAATCATTAGGTACAACACTTAATGGTAGTCATAGGGTACAAATCGTAAGGATACAAGCAACAAAGTTACAGTCATATAGTCATAAGTGGAAGGAGATGGGTAGTGGGAACGATGAGAAGATTAATAGTAATAGTAATACAGACTTAGTAAATAGTTTGACAGTGTTGTGGGAATTATTTGTTTAGCAGAGTGATGGCATTCGGGAAAAAACTGTTCTTGTGTCTTGTTGTTCTGGTGTGCAGAGCCCTATAGCATCATTTTGAGGGTAGAAGTTTAAACAATTTATGTCCAGGATGCGAGGGGTCTGTAGATATTTTCACAGCCCTCTTTTTGACTTGTGCAGTATACAGGTCCTCAATGGAAGGCAGGTTGGTAGCAATTATTTTTTCTACAGTTCTAATTATCCTCTGAAGTCTGTGTCTGTCTTGTTGGGTTGCAGAACCAAACCAGACAGTTATAGAGGTGTAGATGACAGAAACTTAAAACTTAAAGGTATAAGTTTTCATGAGCTGCCTTCTAATAATATTTGTTACTTTAAAAATGCTACCAGATTTCTGAGATAGATGACAGCTAGATAGCTAGATGGATGGATGGAGATAGATGATAGATAGATGATAGATAGATAGATAGATAGATAGATAGATAGATAGATAGATACATACATACATACATACATACTGGCAGGTGATAGACAGACATTTTTGTCACTGTAGACTACCACACTTCTCATCTTACAATATCTTCCCATATTGGACCCCTTACAGAATAACAGAATGAGAGATTTGGACAGGACTTTGGAGGTCTTCTAATACAATCCCTTGCTCAGGCAGGAAATCCTTGAGTAGGCTGGGATTATAGCTCCCATAATCACTTGCTTCAACCATGCTGTTTTGTGTTCATAAATTGTTCAACACATCTGGAACTTTTTGCTAGAAAAAAAGAGAGAGGAATTAACTTGTGATTTATGGGTTTTAAGCAGTGGTGAAATCCATTTTTTTTTACTACTTGTTCTATGGGCGTGGCTTGGTGGGCATGGCAGGAGAAGGATACTGCAAAATCTCCATTCCCACCCCACTCCAGGGGAAGGATACTGCAAAATCTCCATTCCCAGCCTGCTCTGGGGCCAGACAGAGGTGGTATTTGCCAGCTCTCATGACTACTCAAAATTTCCGCTGCCGGTTCTCTGAACTGCTCAAAATTTCCACTACCGGTTCTGCAGAACCTGTCAGAACCTGCTGAATTTCACCCCGGGATTTAAGATTAGAAAGGGGAGTTTATGGAAAGAGGGAAGTGATAATGTAATCTGAGAAAGGGGATAAAGTAAAAACTTTGTCTATAACCACTATCAAGAAGATCCGAAGTACTGTATCTTTTTTATAATCTTTTTTTTCTTTTCCTTTTGTTTCTTTTTTATTTTCTTTGCTATGATTTATTCTTTATTAACTGTATTTTCTCTTATGGCTTTTATTTCCTTAAAAATGTCTTTAATTAAAAATTATAGATAATAATCCCCAAACAGATTGGAGACAATGGGAATTGTAAACTGTTCTTGCTGGCAAAAAGCCGCGTATTGCAGACTCTCAAGTTTCCTACCTTAATCCTCAAAATTGCATTATGATAATCAGTATTAATTTAATTGACACAATAGTCCTCTGAGATCAATTTTAGACCCAGGCTTACAAATTGAAACTGAAGCAAAAATATACTAAAGTTCCATAGCTCCATTCAAGAATAGAGCTGAATTCAAAACGATTGGGCTCCATTGTTGCATCAGCCTGATTATCAGAAGGTATTTTTGATATGATGTTCTTTTAAAGAGCAGGAAAACTCTGGAAAATATAAACATTTATCACCATGGATGATAAGTACATATCATGTTTGACAAGAGAGATGATATTTTGGGAGGGAGAGCTACCATATGCAGTATTATTTTGTGTTCCTTTTATTACATTACATGTAGTCCTTAATTTACAACCACACTTGAGTCCAAAATTTCTGCTTCTAAACTAAGTGATTTTTGCCCCATTTTATGACCTTTCTTGCCACAGTTGCTAAATGAATCACTGTAATTGTTAAGTTAGTAAGACGGTTATTAAGTGAATCTGACTTCTCCATTGACTTTGCTTGTCAGAAAGTCGCAAAAGGTGATTGTATGACCCTGGGACCCTGCAACCGTCATAAATACATGCCAGTTGCCAAGCATCTTAATTTTGATCATGTGACCGTGGGGATGCTGCGACACTAGGATGTGTGAACACAGTTATAAGTCACTTTTTTCAGTGACATTGTAACTTCAAATGATTGTATGTAGCTCCCATTATTTTATTTTATATATCCGTCCAATGCTTACCTTCATCCATCTCCCTCCATTCCATTGCATTGTCCAAGTTCATATGTACATTGTCATGATTAACTTCTAACCAAGGTTTAATTAAAGCCACTAGATCTGGCTTCAAACATGCTAAGCCCTAAATGGTGCTTTATAAATCACAGTGCTGGCTTCACCCAATGTCAAACAATTACATGTGGATTTTGCATGATAGATGAACTCAAATCTGTGAATCCTTACTGGTTTTAATGGTCTTTGATTCCCCAGTTACAACTCTTTAAGATTTTGTTATTACATCATCCATGTGTTTTAAGGCCTGCATCACATCCATGTAAATAAGATAAACATTGAGGATTAATTATGCCATCTAAAGGAATTATTACCTCTGGCAGCTAAATAAATGACTAAGAGTCGTGATGGTTTATACAACTGCCACAAAAGAATATCAGCCATTGAATACCAGTCCTTTAAAAACAAGAGATAGGGACATGATTGTCCTTAGGTAGGGGTCTTCAAGCTTGGTAACTTTACGATTTGGCTGAGGAATTCTGGGAGTTGAAGTCTGCAAGTCATAAAGTTGTCAAGGCTGGAGACCCCCTGTCCTTATGAATCCTTTATTTTGGTTTTAAAGAGTTCCTGGTTGTCTACTGTGAGAACGAAGAAACTAGAAGAGGTCATCTTTGGGTCTGGTCCAACAGGGCAATTATCTTGAATATTTATGGCTTATCAATGACTCTTGTTCTGATGCAGAAGAATGTTCGTAAATCTGATTTATAAAAACCAAAGAGTCCATAGTATAAATGTTCACAAAATGGGGAGTTCCCGAGCAGGAAGCGGAAACCCAGCTGAAATAAATATTCTATATAAGATCCAGAGAACAAATAGTGTGTTTGGATAGGAGAGGGAAACACAAAAGCTGTGTTTACACAAAATTACTAAGTACGGGTTGCTTTAACCTTTGGTTGGTGTTTCGGCAATTTGATGGGCCAATCCACCCTTTGTGGTTAGTTTATGGATCTGTTTTTTCATTCCAATCTCCAAAACGGAGAAAACTGAATGAATCATGGTAAATTTACTCTTGGGACAGGACTGGGCAATTACGACCTGTGGGCTTCAACTCCCAACATGGCTGGCTCAGGAATTCTGGGAGTTGAAGTCCACAAATTGTAAAGGGGCCATAGTTACTCACCCCTGCCTTGGGAGAATCCTGCAAATTGTAATTGACAGTACAAAAATAAAGGAAGGAAACAATACTTTTATTGATGATGGCAACTGAACCGTGAGGCAAACAAGAAGGAAGACTGAGACACAGACAGAATTAAAGGGAGTAGATATTTTTGGACTTCAGATCCCATTTCCCTTACTTTAGCCCTCTCTCCTCTTCTGTATCTTGGCCCACAGAGCTGCTGTTCTCACCTGTTCCAATCTCAGAGAGGCTGTTTCAATCCTTGAACATTCCAGGAGTTC